TGACTACCTTTTGTAATTAGATCCCATTTTTGCAAAGCTTTGTATAGCCTGTATAATTCTTGTAGCTTGTGGCTGTACTTATAATTTCATAATTGTTAATGTTGTAAATTTGACATAATGTTGTTACACTACTAGTAAATCATTTTGGGATCAGGTTTTAGGTATGTAAAGTTTGTGTTTCAATGGAATGGAATGTAGTATGCCCTTTTATTGTGTGTTGGAACAGGTTTGGGTGGATTGTACAGCTTCCTCATAGTCCATTTTCACTTCCATAAATTACAGCAATCTAGTAACTCATTCACAGCTCGAAAGGGCCATTTCGGCCGACCAAAATCGGCACTTCGGCAGGCCGAACTGTCCAGTAGTTTCAGCTACTATTTAGCCCACAACCGGTCAACCGGAAAGGCTACTTCGGTCGACCGGAGAAGACTTCATTTCGGCTGACCGAAGCTCATTTCGGTCGACCGAAATGAAGCTATTCTGGGCACTTTATTCTCTTTCTTATATAATCAATTCTTGAGCCTTGGAAAGTATTTTGAAGCCTCCATGCGGCATAATTAGAGCACGATGATGACCCTAAATGTGACGGATTTGACTCAGGTGACCTCGGGTTCAAGTAAGGACCCGGTTAACGGTTCGAACCTAGGGGTTCGGGTTGTCACAAATACTCGGATCAAAATGGAAGATCAGCAAAGATTGGGTTGCAATCCATCTATTTCGCCTAAGCCTCAATTTTATAACCTAGAGGACCGTAGGAGAGGAGAGGAGAAGGAAGTCATCACATAGAAAGCACACAACTTTAGAGAAAAAAACCCCAAACTCTGATGCACAGAAGACCTCAACGAAGTAAGGAATAGTAACTCTAATGAATAGGGAACCCTAACTTAAGGCAATTTTTATTGAGGTGCACCAACATGGTTTTAATTATGATGTTCCCGGGGTAAACAAGAGGTAGAAATGTTTGCCACATACACATGGTTCAATTGTTTTTGCTTCAAATCCCCTTGTTGCCAACCAGAGAAAAGAAAGGAAAAAAAGGAAGCAAGTTTCTATTTTTTTCCTCTATTCCTTTACCCAATATACTCCTCTCTTATTTTAGTGATTGGGTCTTCCATATATAGAGAAATAAGAGGTCAGTACCACTCAGAAATAGGAGTTGGGATCCTCTATTGTTACAACACCATGCCATAACAACCGAGGATCCTTGCACTAGAAACAATTGCTTGTTAAGTTGAAACTATAGAAATAGGAGGATAAATAAATTGAATTCTCACCTTCAGGGCCATACTTGAGTTTGGCTCCAATTTTATCCATTTGTAAATAAAACCAAATTGAACTCTCCCACTTTAAAACTATAGTTATATTTAGAATAAATTGCACTAACCACCTATGAGGTATTGTCAAATTACACACGACTAGAGCATTTAACATTTTTGCTTTGTACTCTTTAGAATTTTGGTTTGTATGCTCAACGACCTTCTTCTTGTCAATTGACCGTTAGATTGTCAAAAATTATTTATACTATCATTTAATTGTCTTCATATACAAACTCATGTACCAGTTATATAAATACTCATAATTGTAACTTTACCCTAATAAAAATAGTAAAATAAGTTTTGCCTCTCTATCCTCATACTTAATTTCATATCAGTAAAGTCTAAACCCTAAAATCCAACTATGCCAACCTCATCGACATCTTCCTCCCTCTTACCTTCTCAAACCCTAAAATCCAAGATATCCTTTATTTATTATTACCTAGCTAAAATCACCCATCTTACATTTCCTTCTCTAAAATCCCTACCAACTCCACCCTCCACTGCATCACTAATGCTCCGTTTGGTTGGAGGGATAGAAAAATGGATGGAAGAGATATGGGGAGAGATGGATGAGGAATCCTTAAAGAAGGGAAAATGTCTCCTCCATTTTTTGTTTGGTTGATTGGAATGGATAGTAGAAATGATGGATGTGGTGATTTTTTTTTTTTTTTTGGAAGGAAGGGAAAGAAAATTTTTATATTTGTTTACCAATATACCCTCACTTTATAAAATAATAAAAGGTAGATATTCATTTGATTTTTTTAAAAAAGGTAAAAATTGTAAATTATATATTTGTAGGTAGTTATTCACTTTCTCTCTCCTCTATTCCCCCTAAAATTGAGTGGATAGAAAAATATTAAGAAAGGCTGCATCCTTCCTTGTTTCCTCCCTTTTTTCCCTTCTCTCCAACTAATCACAAAAAGATTCATCCATCTATCTTTTCATCCATCCCTCCTCAATCATTTCCTCCAACCAAACATAGCATAAGCCACATCACAACAATCTCTGTTACAAATTTCCTTCACTGAGCCCCCATCAATTTTATCTTATGTGTGCGTGCGCGCACACACACATATATAATGTGTTTATTTTTATTTTTATCAAAGAATCTTTGATAGGGAAAGGAGATATTAGAGACAAATGGGGTGATGAGAGAACAAATAAGAAGATGGCAGTGCTCGGAAGCGCATAGTTATGGGGGATATAGATTTGGGGAATTTGAGATCTAAAATGCCGCGAGTTTAGGGCTTGGGTTTTAGAGTTGAATAGGCCATTAAGGAGGGAAAAAAAGATAAATAGAGAGGTAGGGTTGTTGTGGTGGTGATGACGACGGGAGGAGGTGGTAGTGTGAGTAGATGGTGGTGGGAGGAGGTTAAACTGGGGCGGGGGCGGGGGCGGGGTTGGTGGTGTGGGGGGGGGGGGGGGGAGGCGGTGGGGATGGGAAGAAATGGATTAGAAATAGAGAAACATGTATAGAAGGAAAAAAGGAAAGGATAGACGAAATTCGTACGTTGGCTAAGAGGGTAATATAGTATTTACATAAAATGGGGGTAATATAGTCATTTGCTTTAACATGATTTCTTAACAAATAAGGGTGGTATAGAGATTTTATAATATTACTTAACGTTAGTAGTTTACTAACGAACTTAGGGGAGGCCAGAGTAGGAACTATGAGATCGACCCAAGGATGCCTAACATATCTTCTGCTGGGGTTAGGTGTCTGATGGTACCTTATGTTAGAGCCCCTATTGGTTTAAGTTTTAACCAACAACTTGATGCTTACCTCAGTGTGCGAATTTCGTACTTGCACTATCAATTGACAAGATCGAACTTATTTAATCTAATTATGTTTCTAGATAGTTTTCATGAATAAAACAAAAATGAACCCTCGAAAGTGTGAGTTTTGTTGGTGCAATACCTTACTTTGACATAACATAGGTCGTCCTATTTATAGAGTTTGCTGAGGAAGATCAACCACAGGATTAGATGATATTTTTCTGAATGGTTGAATATGTGTAATTTGATAATAACTCAGGGTTTGTCGCCGTCCATGGTGGTTTCCAGGTCGTGCTTTAGCGACTTGGTTATGCGTGAAGAAGTCAGGGACCAAATTTTTACTTAAAATTGATGGATAATTTCAGTGATGAACATAAAGAAAATAATTAGATGCCGAAATATCATCGGTAATACTAGATTTGAGCAGAAAAGTCATGATCGCTGCCGACAACAAAATTGAAGAGGTGATATTGGGATTGGGGGTGGAGGTGAAGGTTGGGCAATTTTGGACTAGAGTTTGTTAAGGCATGAAGAATGATCGAGATGGAAGCCATTGAAGTGAGTAGTGGATTAGGTGTTGGGGCTTTTGATAAAGTGATGGTTAGGGTTTGATGAGTCTGTTTGAGAGAGAGAGGTGAGAGTTTGAGAGAGAGAGAGAGGGGGGGAGGTGAAGAAAACATAACTTAAAAAGGTAATTTTGTAATTTTAATAAAATAATTTTTAGTTTTTAATTTAACATTAAATAGTAAGGTCAATTTTGTCATTTTACATCTCGATTAACAGTTCGGATAAGGATATTGGGGGCAATGTGATCACTTTTTATAGTGTGGGAATTTTTTGAAATAGGTTTGACATTTATGATTAAAATTTAAAAGTAATGTGAATTTTATAGAATTGGCCCTTTAAATTAAAATGGAAAATAGCAAACAACATGGCAATATTAAGGGCATTACAATAAATCAATAAAGTACATGAAACCTAGACTGCCAGGCCATGTTTGGTGTGAGTGAATGGAAACAAATGAAGTGGGAATGGAATGCTTTTGTTTCTATTCTTTAGTTTGATAAGTAACTTTAAAATTGGAATGATGATTCTTGCCCATTCTCCGAGAATGGTGATTCCCACTAATTCATTCCACTTTCCAATTAAAGAAATGATCATTCCATTCCCACTTTAAATAAATAAATAAATAAAACATTTAATGAAATGTCGGCTACACACATATATATACATACATACATATATATATGTTTTACAAAAATATGATATTTTTTTGTGTAACTCAACATGGGAATGAGAATGGTCATTCCATTCCCATTCCATTCTTTAATTCATTCCATTCCCACTTTATTTCATTCAACCACACCAAACTAGCCGACTAGGGTTTGTTGAGGCATGAACGACTGAGATGGATGGCATTGAAGTGAGTAGTGGATAAGGTGTTGGGGTTTTTGATAAGGTGACGATTAGGGTTTGATGAGTCTGTTTGAGAGAGAGGGGTGAGAGTTTGAGAGAGAGAGGGGGGGAGGTGAAGAAGACATAACTCAAAAGGGTAATTTTGTAATTTTAATAAAATAATTTTTAGTTTTTAATTTAACATTAAATAGTAAGGTTAATTTTGTTATTTTACATCCCGATTAACGGTTCAGATAAGGATGTTGGGGGTAATGTGATCATTTTTTATAGTGTGGGAATTTTTTATAATCAAAATTTAAAAGTAATGGGAATTTTATGGAATTAACCCTTTAAATTAAAGTGGAAAATAACAAACAATATGGCAATATTAAGGGCATTACAGTAAATCAATAAAGTACAAGAAACCTAGACTGCTAGATCATTTGTGGTGCTTGTAAACATTGACAAGGGTATTATTGTACTTCCAAACTAAGCTAAAGTACGCAGAAGCATACGTTCCGTTCTCTCATTCAACCAACCTCTGTTTCTCTCTCTACACCCATTACCACCACCGCCACCTCTCTCTCTCTCTCTCTCCAAACAAGGCATAATGAGAGGAAAATAAAACAGACGGTGGTTGATGCATGAACAAATTAAGAATCTTCCTTTCTCTCTGTACCCTCTCACCACCCTCGCTTTCTAATCCATTGACCATCCGACAGATTTGCCTTTTTGGTTCTTCTTGGTCTTTACGCTCCAACAACCACCTCCTTGCCTCTCCGGACAGGTACGAACACAGCCACTTCTTGTTTATAATGGGCTTGTTTTGCTTCTCTGTTTGAGTCTCTGTGAAGGGTATGTGCTCTGCTTTGCTAATTGCTACTTAGTTTGTGGTTTATATATGGGCATTGGCTTTGATGGTGAACTCATACATACATACAACTGTTAAATCTAATGTTGGGTTTGTGTTGATTACTGTGGTTTTGCTTGGAAAAGATGTGTATTTGACTTTGTTTTGATTTTGGGTTAGTTCTCTCTATCTCTCCATAAAAGGTGGTAGGTTGGTGGGTTGACTTATCTTCCAAGGAGAGAGAATTGGGAATTCTTTTAAAGTAAGGGCTTTGGGCTTTTTTGTTGTTTTGTTTGAATTCTAATTTTGCTTATCATGATGGGTTTTTGGGATTACTCTATGCAGATTATAGATAATATATCAATCATCGATGGCATATCATTATCAAGCTAGATATCAACTTCACATTTTGAGTAAAATATAGTGGGGGTACTTGCAACCACAAATGATTGAATGTACTTCTTTCATGAAAATTCACAGTTGGTGTAATTGGAACTTATTGCATGAAATTTCTGAGCGCTTTTTCTTAATTTCGTCATTTTACGATTAATTGTTCTTACATAAGCGTCATTTGTGTCTTATTTACTTTTGTTAAACTGCATATATATAATCTAAGCTGCAAATTAACAAGTTTTTAGCTGCATTTAGCTTGAAATCTAGCTAGAAGTAGAAGTTTTGAATTGCATTTGTTTGATGGTCTCTCTTTTGCGTCTTAGATGATATTAGGTGGTGGCATTTGGAGTTCAAAATTTTCTCTTTGGATAGGCTCTTTAGTTCCCTAGCTAGATCAAATCTGATTGTTTCGTGAAATTAAAGGGTACATGTTATATTAGAGAAGCTTAAGAATCAAGTGCATTTAAGGAGAAAATAGGACTAAAGCTAAATATATGGAATGTGTATTTAGCAAAATTAAGAATACTAATGGTACTGCAGTGAAGATATAAGGTTAAGAGATGTCAATGGTGAAAAGTTCCCCTACCCAGTCTTGATTATTGGTAGGGAGAATGAAATTGGGAATGAATACAAATGGTACTACAGTGAAGATATAAGGTTAAGAGATGTCAATGGTGAAAAGTTACCCTACCTAGTCTTGATTATTGGTAGGGAGAATGAAATTGGGAATGAATGGAGAATTAAACAAAATAGGTATTAGGCCAATCATGTTTTATGGGATAGAATGTTGGATGGTTGATGAAATGAGTGTCATGTCATGTAATGTAGATGTTGAGAAGGACGTGTAATGAGATGAGAAAGGATAAAATGAACACAGTTTTGAAATAGTAGAAGTAGCGCCTGTCGGATATAAAATGAGAGAGTTGAGAGAATGTTCTGTAGCAGGTTGTTTAGTGACTTTTTCATGCATAGATTCTTCTTATTCCAACTTACTTAGTGTTCCATGTAACGTTGAAATATCATCTTGCTTACCGTCCCCTGATACTGTTTCCAATAACTTTGTGGCATCATTTTGTTATTCTTTTAACATTAGTTTTCAGTAGGTTGTCAATATTAGAAAGTGGTAACTGTCTTCACAATAGTTTCAAGTGTCGCTTAGATAATGTTTATTCTTTTAGTTATTTTATTTTTTTGCTATTTATTCTATCAACTTTGTGACAGTCTGACACTTGCTTTCGGATGCACCTCTGTTATAACTGGCCAGCTTTTCATTATATTCTAAGGCTATCAACTGAACAATTGTGCTATTCGTAGAAAATTGGAAGCATCAATGGTGAGCATACGAAGGCGCAAACTCTTAGGACTTTGCTCGGGTATGTGCAAGTTAAAAAAATTGCTTTAGTTAGACAAAGTGCTTCATTTAAATGGGCATAACATTGTTCGTTTATTATTTTGCGTAGACGTTCTTGGACGATTTTGTGCATCACATATCATGTTCTTCTTGTTTGTCAACTACTGTTACGTTTTCATCTCCCTTAATAAATCACAACTTTAGTGATAGAGAACCTAATGTGTTAAATCTGCCATTGTGCTCAAAGCAACTAAAATTCACCATATTTCGTCTGGCCTTTGTAGGGCGAAATTCTTTCTTGGCTCCACTTTCTAGGTTCTTTGACTATGCAAATGCTCTTGAAAATCCGGTTCAAAACACAAAACCAGTTTTTGTTCACCAGCCAAAGAGTGTGCATCCTGTGCCTTCAGTTGATGCTGACCAACCAAAGGAGGTATGTGCAGATTTTCTGTGCAGTTCTTTATTTATTTATTTAATTATTTTTATCTACTTCCTTTGTCTAGACAATCTATTATGTCAACAATTGACGTGCATAAGATGCAGTAACCTTATCTTTGAAGTGTTTGCTAACTTCTTCTCTGTCTGCCACTGGGTGCTGCACTCTATTGGACTGTATTGAGGGGTTATGGGCAGTCTTGAAGATTGAACTTCACCAATATGTTTAACATTAAGTTATTAACTATGGTAGTGTAATATGAAGACGCCAAGCCACCAATTGTGTTGTGGTAGTTATTGAAAACTAGAAGTAGGTCAATATTTGAAAATGTAGTTGTTCCTTATTGACCTCCATTCAGTGACATAGCCTTTGTAGTAAAATGATTAAGTGCTAATATGGCATCTAAATGGAAGGGGTGTAGTTAGGGGTTCCATCCAGCCTTTGGTAGAAAATATCTATCAAGAAGAAGAAAACAAAAAATACCTATCAAGAAAATTTGAATCTCCAAAAATGAAGAAAAGGGAAGAAAGAGTATATAATGGGCAGATTGAAATGCTATTAAGGACCCACTGTGCTTTATTCAAAATGCTCCGCAATGCACTGGCCAACCCCATCCTTGTGGGATAAAGTCAAGGATGATGATGATGATGATGGTTTACACTGTTCGCAACACGGACTGAAGCTAGGGAACTTAATATATAGATGCCTAAGTGATCAGTTGATACTTACAAAGAGATGAGCTGCGGAGAGCTTACAGAGTTTATAGGGTTGCAATTGAGAAAATGGAGATGCATTAGGGGCAGAAATGGTATATAATTTTGTGCTCTATCACTGGGACTGAGCAAGGAAGCAGCAGAAACCTTTGAGCGCTAAATAGAACAAACTTATTCAGCATGTGGTACATAGTCTACAGACCCATTTATGAAGTTTGATGGATTTGAGACACTTATCTCAGCAGCTAATGTGAAGGTGCAAGGGGAAGCCAACAGAGGAAATTTTGTTGGTTCAAATTCTGTCTAGAACTTTGAGGGAAAATGCACAAGAGTATGAGATTGACTTGGTAGGATGCCATATCCGCTAAAGTTGGCTCAATATGATTACTGTAAAACAATTTATGAAAAAAAAAAAAATAAGAGAAGATTACTGTAAAACAAAAATTTCTCAATCCTTTTCTTTAACAAAAATCTGGTAAATGACAGGGATTATCTATTTATCCAAAATTCCGGTAAAGTGTTTCACCCAAGTCACACACAGTGGGAGTGAAAGTGCGAGAGCATCAAAGCCTAAATATTTTGAGAGCGGAAGCGTCTTGAGAGCGTCTATATATTAGGTTTATATTTAAATATTTTATGTTATAATTTTTGGTTATTTATTTAGATTTATATGTAAATATATTCATTGATTAATTATTCCATCAATAGTATATGTAATAACAATTAGCTGACTTTTTCGAAAAGAAATATGTGGCTTAGTGGTGGGTTATTTTTTATATTCTTCAATATGCTGTCTTTTCAATCTTTTGAACCTTCAGCTTCTTAGGGCCATTTTTCCAAACATATATATCTATTATATAGTAGTATAAGACTATAAGTGTGTCATACAGCTGGATATTTATTATATGGTCGTATATGCCATACAGTAGCTGGGACGCACTTGGAATGTAAGTGAATAACGTGTGAGAAGTGAATTCGTGTGGAACGGCGTACTCAAAATGCAAATTCACGAATCGAAAAAATTGAATTTGCGAATTTCGGATGAATCCGCTCTCAAAGTGCAAATACATGTGCGGAACTTGAAAGTGGGTCCTCCTCTCGTGAATTGTGTGACAAAGTGTTGCACTCATTGTCTCTCTTTTCCATTTTGGGATGGTTGATGCATATTGGGAATGATCTTAAAAAGTTGAAGAGTGGTAAAGTGGAAGAGAGCTATGTTACATAGGCTTGGGGTATGTTTGTCTAGTGTGGATATTTGTTGAATTTTCGTTTTTGTCAAATTGAAGTTCCAAATGTAAGGACACAAGATGGCGAAGCACTAATATATATTTTTTTATAATTCTATTATTTTCTAGAGTAAAATGGTATTTTTATGTAACATTATAAATATAACATAATAAGAGGGTATGCATATGGAAATCCACTCGACTCAATTCACTAACAAGACAGGTAACAAATTGAAATAACAGATTCATCTCATATATCAAAATATGTCAAAATAAAAAAATTTCTCTTTTTATTTTAAGTCCAATATTTGTTGGAATTACTCTATATTCAGATAGATCAAATCCACATTTCTTCTTTTGTGCTCCTTAATAACCAAACAATTGAATTGCTTATAATGATAACTATCCAATTTTTGTCTTCTTTTGCTACTCATTTTTTATCATCACAAAATATTCATACATTTTATTCTTTTGCTGGACTATGGGTGATTTGTTTTTGAAATAGTTGATATTTTGATAGAATGATAGAAAAGGAATTCTTTGGTCTCAAAAGCTGAATAATATTCATTCCTTGAAGTGGTTCTTTTGGGCGTTCTTCAGACATTTTATTCTATTCCAATCGTAAGTTTAACTTTCAGATATGTTTCCGATGCTCATGTTTGATTAGTCATGTAGGCCACATATTCCATACTCATATTTGAGTTTCTCGTGTCCGCTAAGGTACTTCACTCATATAGAACAGTGACAATAGTCCATGTAATATTGGAAGAGGAGGGAGCTGCTTCAGGAGGTTTTCTGTGCATCATTCTTTGTTTGATACTCAATGTGCTCTTAGCTTGTTTTCACTGCTCTTTGCATAAATGTAGGTAGGCAAGATCCTTGTATTCTTAATTCAACTCAGTCAATGTTCCTAATATATCATCACATAGAAACTTTGATGTGTTTATCTTGTTAATAGGATATGTAAGTTTATAGGTAGGAACTCTTTTTCAACATTATGTGATAAGTCTTTGATGTATTAGCACAATCAGTACACCTTATTGTTAATAAGTCCTTACGATGGCTTCATATGTGAAGATGTTCTTAACCCTTAAATTCTTGTTTTTCTTTGATGGAAGATCCGTGATATATTATTTTGACACTTTTCACCTCTAGTTCAATGGAATGATTTCACTTATATTTGTTGTCAGTTATTAAAATTGATTTCTGTTGATTATGCTGAGGATGAATTTGAAGAGAATCTAGTACAGAAAAACGACACACAGACATGCATATATTGTATACGTGTCTGCAACTATATGCGCAAGTGACAAAAAAAAGGACCACCAAGGGCTAGAACCTAGTTGTACTTTCTCATTTTCCAATGTAGAAGGTCGAGGGTTGAGTCCCCATAGGGGTAAAGTGGGTGTGTGAGTTTCAAATATAAAAAAAGGGAAAAAAATAATGAGGACAAAATTTGCTTTATTTTCTGTGTGGAAGGAATTATAAGGTAGAAACTTTCTGTGTTCAGAAGGGTAAACCGTTTGAGGAGGTGGACCTTTTGATCTGCCACCTTCACTAGTTCTTTGAGTCCCTTCTGAGTTGGAAGTAGTAAATATATTGCAGCTCTTGAAGCACGCCTTCTGAATGTACATAAAACTAATGGGATGAGGAATGTGTATTAGCGTGCATTTACTTACAAACTTGGTCTTGGTCAACAGTTAAAGACTAATGGGATGTGATGTTCAGGGGAAAAAAAACGTATCAACTGCGAAACATTAAAAAGACAGTTGCAAATAGGAAGTAGTTAGTTGTGTCCTTTAATGATACTTCATAGTTCGTTTATGGAAGTGTTTTCAAGTGAGAATAAAATTGTGTTCTTTAAAATGTTTTTATATATAATCATTTGAGTGAAAAAGAAAACTTCACTCAACTGGTTTTGAAATATACAAAATCTCTATAATAATGAAATCGTGTTGTTGCATTATATATCACATAAATTTATCCCTTTCATATCCATTGCATTTGAAGTTAGTTTATTTTGAAATAGACTTTGTTTGATAATTTTGAATGGTTAATTAATTTTGATTGGTATCAAGTTTTTAAGGTATCAAATAGGAGATATTTTTCAAGACGGCATAATTTGGTAGTGCTTTGCAGAATTTAGGCAGGAGAAAGAAAATATAACCAATAAAGAAACTAAGATTGCTGAGATATTTTTTTGCACTCTTCACATCTAATTCCCCACTCCAGTAAGGACTGGAACAACCAGATAAGACTGCTCATTCCTCTTCTTCTTCTTCTTTTTCTTTAATTTATTATTATTTTTTCTCTTTTCTTGTATTTTCTCATGAATGGAACAAGGGGTTCCCAATGTCGATCTGGTTGTACTATAATATTTGTGTCATCCAACTCATATGTGCACGTGCAAATTTTGGTATATGACGAGTCTGTTGAAAGTTGACCCTGGCAGACATCTAGTGATGTATTTGTTTTTTTTATGATTGGATAAATAACTTATATTTGTAGATTTCTAAACTGTCATATTGTGATTTCAATGGTTTGTAGTAATTTACGTTCTGATAAGCACATATACATGTTAGATTGTTAACATATGAAGTTTCGGCGCACTGTTATTGTTTTATGATTTGAAAGATTGCCTATGAGGTGTTATTCGTTTCACCTTGTAATGAAAGCTTATTTTAATGTTAAAAATGTTGTTTCCCAGAAAACTATCTCAAAAGTAGTTCCTGGATCATCAATTGTATCTGGTTCTAGCTCATCAAAAGAGCAGCAGAATCAACTGTTTCCAGGTTTGTCTTTTCATTTTCACGTGTATGCATGTAAGTTACTATTGACCTAGTGGATTCATTGTTATCTATCATGAACCTTTACAAAGGTCCTCGATATTTACATTTCTTGTTGAATTATTTCTTGATAATCGTGCCATTAAAAGAAAAATACTTGATCCTCATAAACTATCATAGTTCTTGATAATGACATGGTATTTCTTGATAACTATGTCATTATATCTATCATAGTTCTTGTTGAATTATTTTGTCCTTAAAATATCTTAAACTGGTACTTGTGCCATGAGGATAAACATTCCTAGACATTCTGTAGCTGGGAGTTTCAGTGGATGAGCAGTTTGACTATTTCTAGCCAGGCCCGGCTGGAGCCCCAGCTAACAGGATGCATTAATATTTGCCCTAAATTTTTTTATTCATCTAATATTCTTAGGCCCCAACCAATAGTGGTCCCTGCAATTTAATTTTATCCTGTATTCATTTCCATCTAACGGATAACTGGTATTGGAAATGAAAAATTTTCTCCACTTTCCCACCTTTTGTATTGAAACTCTTAATTTTTTTCCTTTTCTCTGCTCATGTTTTTTTTTTTTTTTTTTTTTTTTTTTTCTCTCTCCTCTCCTCACTAAAGACTTTCTTTTTTCTTTTTTTTTTCCCCCCTCCTCTCATTATCACAGCAACCAAGGATTTTATTAAATTTGGGCCCAAACCAATAACATGTATTAATAGTGGCCCTAAAATTTAATTCATCTTATATTCATTCATATGCAACGGATTGTTATTTATTTATTATTTTTCCTTGGCAAGGAACTCACACCCCCATTTGCCCCTATGGGGACATGAATCCTCCCTCACATCTCATTTTGAGAGGTAGAGGAGATACTACTAGGCTACAACGCCTTTCCTACCATTTCTAATTGTTAATGGAATGTGATAAAACTTTTCATCTACTCCTAGTTTTTCTCCACTTGGTGGTCCTGTGAATTTTTTTTTTTTTTTCACTTTCCCACCTTTTGTAGAAACTTTTAATTTTTTTCCTTTTCTCTGCTCACGTTTTATTTATTTTTCTCTCTCCTCTCCTCTCCTCACTAAAGACTGTTTCTTTCCCCCTCCCCTCGTCATCACAGCAGCCAAGGATTTTATTAAATTTGGGCCCAAAGCAATTAGTTTTAGCCAGTTGTACATGCTCCATCTCCATTTGTAACTCCTGATATCAGCTCAGGGAGCAGACCTAATTTAATTCCTTTTGAAAATTCCCAAATGTTAAATGCTCGTTTTTAACAGGTTTAAAAAACAGATGCCATTTTATTTCTGGAATATCTTAATTCTGTATCATAATGGCATTGCAAGACTTTCATCCTACTCCATTTGTATTCATGACTTCATGTAGGCCTATGTTTATTTATGGAACTCCACAGGCCATTGCTTGGTGCATTGGTAAAATGCTTGTGTTGTCAAGCATGAGAAAGTGGGTTGAATTCTGAGAACAGCCACTTTGTGCAAAAAATGCCGAAGTTTATGTCTGCATCCAATCCACCCCTATCAACACCTTCAATTATCATGAGAAATGACCCCTTTTGTTTATGGAATCCCCTCAGTTTTACAGTAGAACTATTTTTATGTTAAAACGCACCCCTTCCACACCCCCCCCCCCCCCCCCCCCCCCCCCCCACGTGTTCACACCTGTGCTTTCTATGTTGCCTTTCTGTTTACACTGACTCATGTTTTCTGCAGTGCAAGAAGTTAAACGTAGAAAGCGACACAGGAGGAAGCATTTTGAAAACCAAGAACAGTGTGTAATGAGAGGTGTCTATTTCAAGAATATGAAATGGCAGGCAGCAATAAAAGTTGACAAGAAACAAATTCACTTGGGTACTGTTGGCTCTCAAGAAGAGGCTGCTCATTTGTATGACAGGTATAAATCTGAGTTTCACCTTGCTTGGTACCATAATTTGTTAGAAAAAGGACCATAGTTTAACGGAGTTTGATAGAACCATAACTTCTGCTCTCCCCATCTTAAGGTGCCCTTCATATGCGGCTATAAAAGATTTAAAACACATGAATACTTAAGTTGGAAAGTAGTTAATGCCACTTAACTAACACCATCTCTACAATTAAGGTGAATTTCTATGCTAGTAGGTTATACTCGATGTAAAGGATATGAAAAGAAGAATAGGAATTGAAGGGACTCGAAATGGGAAGAAAATGTCAAGAAAAATGAGATTCACAGAGGCCACATGCAAAAAACTTGTAGAGTGGTTGACTGCGTGAGAAAATTGCACTTTACGGTGATGGAATAAACTTCATTGCTCTCTCCATGAGGAACAAAAACTCGAAAGTATTTGAAAACTGTAGATGACTGGTAACAGTAATCAATTAAACAAAGAAGATATGATTGGATTAGATTAGGAATTTTGTAGGTTTTGGTTTATAAGAAAGTTATAGACCAAAGAGTTTTAGAATATCCATAGCAAAGCAGAGGGCTACTCAAACTTCAACGTGTCTTTTTCAATAGTGAAAAATTCATAATGCATCCAGTCTATTTTGAGGCTTCTGTCAAAGTATTTCCCAGAACTTGCTGGGAGATAGTTTTCAGTGTCTTGGTTGGTCCTAATTGTCACAGTTGTGGAGATTCCTCTCCCTACCCGAATTGTGGAATTTCGTAATTTCTGCTATCTCACATATGCTTAATTCAGTCACACATTTGTCTATCTTTAGCATATTCAAATATGTTATTGTGGCGTGGGTATTGCGTAAAATAATATGCTTGAAAACTCATCTTCCCCTTTTCTATATTTGTAGGGCTGCTTTTATGTGTGGGAGGGAACCCAACTTCGAACTGTCAGAGGAAGAGAAGCAAGAACTCAGGAAATTCAACTGGGAAGAATTCCTAGCAATGACTCGTTATGCTATTACTAGCAAAAGTAAAGTTTCTATTTCTTACCCGATCAATTTATGTTGTTATCTTATGGTCTTTTAATAACAATTGTATGTGATATATTCAGAGCATCAGAGAAGAAGCAGGGAAGGTTCACGAAGAAAGTATGAGTTTCCAACTCGGAACAGTGAGTGGGAGGGTGAGCAAGAAATCAATGGCTTCTCAGCCTCGGAAGATGTAGAGCCAGACATTTCAGTCTCTTGAAATTTTTTCTCTTAGGGACAAGGCTGAATAACCTGGTTCTAATAGTTGCGTCAGCTTTCGCCCTCATTGTTCTTTCCGGTGTATAAAGGCCCCTATTAGGGCAGATCAAGGTTAAACTTATGTCTGTTAGTAGTGTATTGGTGACTCTAATTCAATAAATAGTAAAGTTCTACGCATGCCTTAATTTCCATCTTCTCAAAGGTATAGATTCGCCTTTTGCCAAAGCAGATGCTCAAAATTTTTTCTCAAACAAATCATATGCTGCAGTTGTTCTGCATAGATGCACGGGAACGTAGAATCTGAAGGGGTAAGTTGATGAGCCTAAATTAATCTACTAGTCACTTTGCGAATTCCTTGGTTCATCAAATTTTCAGTAACACCTACATTTTTGTTATCAACTTTATTCTTGCTTTGAAATTGTACATCTGGAATCTTGTAGTCTGCAATTGCTGAGAGTACCAATCCTCAGTCTTTATGAGCCAAGGATGTGGTATTTCCTTATCTTGTTTTCCTTGTTGGTCTCAGAATAATGGTTGGATTGGTTCCATGGTTTTGAATTTCCAGGAACTTACTGAACTGTTTCACACTTGGGACTTCAGCCCTCGAACTTCTATTTTAGAAGGTGGGAAAGTACCATTAAGGCATTGTCCTTGGTTATTGTATGTATACATATATATTTTTTTGATAACCGGGTGTCTAGGGCTTTTTTCCAACTAATCCACGGTATCCGTGTAAGGCGCCCCCATTGTATGTATTGTATGTATAAAATTGATCACAGTTCTGTCAAGGTTGAACTTTAAAACTTTTTATGGTTGCTAATCTGTCTGAGTATTGATTGGGATCAGAATCTTAGGTCCCGGACATCATTTTGAACTAGTTTTTTGTCGGTATATTTTCAGGGATTGTACCCAATTGGTATGTGTCCATTGATTTAAACACTGAGAGTAGAGAGACTATCTTAATCTATTACAGACTAAGCGTCTTTGATCATTGTATCGATAAGTAGCACGTAACATATCGAGATAAGTAGCACGTAACATATCGAGATATTTGATGGATATCGCTAAAATGATTTACAAGTTGAAATATAGTAGTTTACATATTGAAAATTTATACTTGATGGATATCGCTAAAATAATTTACAAGTTGAAATATAGTGGTTTACATATTGAAAATTTATACAGATGCATACATTAACATTATAGAACATAGTATAAGAAAAAACTCATGCTATGTTTAAGAATATCGAAATGACACACTGGAAGGGCCATTTGATCTATCAGATGGGCCTGATATTGCACATTGACCCCAAACTTTGGTATAATCACCCAATTACCCTTAGACTTTATCATAACCATTATTTTGACCACAAAAAAGGAATATTTTACCCTCTTGTGGTCGAACCATTAAAGATTGTTCTAAATGGCTATTTTACCCTAGTTGTGACCTAAATTATTAAATTAACATGAAATGACTATAGTACCCTTGTATGTCCCATGTTCGGGGAAGGACCCGAATCACGCTTCGGACCCTCTAGTTTGGCTCGTTACACTTGTCCCACATCATATCCGAATGGAAGAGTGATTGGGTATATATGGGTTGGGTGTTAGCCCACCTAATAGCTTAGGCTTTTGGATCGGATCGCAAAGCACTCACCCGTTACATTTATATATAACAAAGGCCAACTCAGCCTATTGCCCGTTTGTTGTTGCAATTTTAGAGTTCTAAACAAAATGTTGAGTCTGTTAACATATGAATAGTTTGTCAAGATGCAATAATCAAGGACGAAGTTAGAAAGTATGTTCAGGGGTACAATGCAATTTTTTTTGAGAGAGAGGGTAATTTTAAAATTTCAAAGAATCATACATATAAAATGCAATTTTTTAAAACTTCAAGGGGTATTTTTTAAAATTTTAAAGAATTATACATCCAAAAATACAAATTTTAAAAGTTGAGGGGGGCAATTTTATTTTAAATATACAAAATAAAATGCAATTTTTTAAAAATATCCTTTAATGAGTGTAAAAAATGTGAGTGCATGTCCATTAATTTAATTTTTGAAAAATGTGAGTGCATGTCCATTAATTTAACTTTCGAAAAATGTGAGTGGATGTCCATTTCCTCCTATTCCAATTCCCCAAATCTATATTTATATATATTTTACATTAGTGAGGATGTACATCATCCTTATCATTAATGTGGACCAATAATAAATAGATATGTCCTCTTAATTAGTACGAGGATTATGTACATCCTTACCGGTAAGGACCTAAGTATTATCTATATATTCTGCCCAATATTATTTCTACTCACTAAAAAAAAAAAAAAAAATTGAATTTGGACCAATAATAAATGGATACGTCATCTTAATTACTATGAGGGGTGTGTACATCCTTATTGGTTTTGAGATGTCCTGTAATTTGCGGGATTTTATAAAAGTAAGAGGGTATTATAGGCACACCAATTGGTTAAAAATATATATCCAATCACGGTTATAATCTTAAATAAATAAGAAGAATTGGTTTAAAATGAAACAAATGAGCAGTTTTTGCAATTTTGGCCACAATTTTTCAATCCTTTTTGTTGTCTTGATTTTCTAAATCATGAGTGATCTTTCCTTGAACTGTACCTAATCACTTCTTCTATACACAATAATACAAATGAATGTTTTTTTTAGGGTTGTAAGAACCAGGTCTCCAACATTAATGAGTTATCATAGAATTGAATAAGCTTAAGATAATATGTTATAAACTAGATCAATCAAAATAATAGTACCAAAGACCAACAAAAACCATGTAAGGTTTACATACATGCATGTCCATGTAAGGTTTGAAATCTTAGTATTTGCATCCTTACGTGTTTTTTCCCCAGTAAATTGTTCAACCTTTGTTATGGTTGTGTTGCACATGTTCCTTGCCCTCAAATTTAGTATATTTTGCAGCATGGCTAGAGTCAATTCTCAATTTCTTGCCATTCAATTTGTGCTGACAAAGAATTGATAAATTGACAAACAATTAAGAAAACTAGCAAGCTAGGATTTGAAAAGTCAATTAATCAATAGCAACAAGAAATTAAATTAGATTAAAATTAACAGTTTTCTTTTGTTCTCTATGTGGAGAGGTAATTATTGCCACCAGCAATATCATAATAATCTTTACAATATGCTTCATGAGGGAAATGAATGAAAAATGTCCGCTTCCTCTTAGTCCTAAAAATTCATGTTCTCTTTTACAGGAGGGACTAACACTATGACCCAAGAAAACAAGTAGTTCAGGGTATCTCACATGGAGAGTTGAAAACATGCGATAACTTATTACATAGTCCCGAACCATTGGTGACGAGCCAATCACCATTAGACATGTAGGTAATTATGTCATCAATGTATATAAGCTTTATTCATCTTTATATTTTTTTGGCCTACGTGTCCAATGATGATTGGCCAGGACCATCTAAAAATTTCTCAATAGACAATACATAGAGTTACTACAGTCCATTAGGTTGATGTGACTAGTTAACAAAGTAAGCAGTCCAACGAGCCAGTATGATGCTGGCTAACAAAATTTTTAAGCCACTGCTTGTCACAAGCTTCATTGCTTGTGGTGAGCCTTTGAATAACAATTGTGTGGGACTCGCCGTGTGGCACGACCCACACCAATGACATTCATATCCGGACTCGTCACATGTACAAATATATCTAATGATTGGTCTTATAGAGTGTAAGAAAAGCAGAGAACAAGCCGAGAAGACCGCACTCGGGGCAAGAAAAATTGGCCTTATACAGTGTAAGAAAAGTAAAGGACAAGTCGAGTAGACCGTACCCAAGACGACTTAAGAGTGTTGTGCGGATAAAATGATGGTAAAGATGGCAATAAGTAATGGTAAGGTCCGTGAGGCTGTAATAATGACAATACATAAGAGGCAAACCTAATTAAAATTTTAAAATCATACTCTGTTCCCACCCTACATCACTGAATAATCTTTCCATTTAGAAAGTATTTTCTGTGTTATCTTAAGTTATTAATAAAAGGGAATTTGACTTTGGAAATTAACATAGGAAATCAAGATATATTCCAATAATATATATTCGATTCAAAATATGAACAATGAGTAGTCCATAACAGAAATCAGCCACTAACCCATGATCTCCATGGCCCACCAAGCATAACCATGTTCAGCTATTGACGCGTATCCTCTGTCATGATTTACTGGGCCCAACCTAATTTTCCATGTTGGGCCCAAGTCTTGTATTTAATGGGTCAATGGCAAGTGTCCCGTGTCATGAAAATAGGTCATGGTAGATCTAACTAATATGCAATAGACAAGTGTCTCAACAAATCAGCTAGTTGGCCCATTAAATTAGTAACTAGTCAGACCCTCCAGTGATGGAGTATAAGTCTATAACTGAGGCCAACTCCGCCCATAGGGCAGCTCAAGTTTGACTCGCTACTTCACCTAAAACCAAAACAAATCCACTCTAAATTAAGTGCCCTTTCGTTGTTGTAATTTTAGAGTTCTAAACAAAATGTTGAGACATTTGCCATATGAATAGTGTGTCAAAATGCAATAATTAGGGACGGAGTACTCAGAAATTATGTTCAGGGTGCAAGGCAAAAAAAAAAAAAAAATTGAGAGGGTAATTTTAAAATTTCAAAGAGAGCAGGCACGTTTATGAACCGGATAATATAGTAATCCAACTCCAATCCTAGTCCCCATCAAACTATATGTAAATATATATATATATATATATTATAGCATACAAAGAGAGAAAAAAATGTGAGAAGAATTAGAGGCGGTAGAGGTGACGCCGAGAGAAAAGGAAAAGAAAAAGAAAATCGGACCAAGGGAGAAGAAGACAACCACCCATGGCTGCCGGAGTTGGAGGAGACAACTGGAAGGTTTCCGGTAAGGTTTACGATGCCGTTTCATTTCAAAACATTGAGGCAAGTTACTCCTCTATTCTTCCTATTTGAATCCATAAACTTTTCACCTCTTTGAATCTAAAATTTGTTAATCAATACATTGCTAGTAGTATGTGAGATTTTATTTTAAATTGTATGTATTAGAGTGAACTTGGGTATATATGTGTGTGTGTGTGTGTATATCTGTGTGTGTGTGTTTTAAGTTAAACTATAAGCTTGATCTATGGCTTAGGAGGGTTATTTAGGACTTCTGTAAT